CTCGCCAGACAACCTCACGGAACACTAGCGTAAAGCTCACCGGCCTTAGTGTGGGACCCGGCAAGAGAAGTATAGATCCAAACCCCGTGTAACAAGAAGCAGCACACAGACAAGTCCTAGCATGGCTGCTGCGATTGGTTCTGAGCCTGTTGCATCTACTAGAGTCTGGATCCACGGTTGACCATATGGAGTGCCAATAAGAGCTGCATAATCATTGCCTTGCCTTAGAAACAGAACAATGCTCATTGACAGCGCTCCCAAGCTGTTTGTGAGGAAGCCGATAATTGTAGCCTTTGGGTTAGATTGGGATGCATTCTTTACTTCCTCCGCTAGATGGGTAGTTGCGTCTCCACTGCCCATGGTTAATATAGGCGCAATCATGCCCACCATGGTTGCGACAGCAGTATTGCCCCATCCACTCGGATCCTTGAATTCAAGGAAGATTTCTGTGGCGTCGGATTTTGGGCCCATGACGATAAGTACTGAAAGAAAGGCAACAAATACCATCATGTAGGGGATAATCATCAAACCCTCACCATATGGAAGGTATTTTGCAAGCAATGTGTTCCAGATGATTGCAAAGGTGGCAACCGATATGCAGAGAAGCGTGCTATGCATTGGTGCTGGTTTATAGGACGACGATATCAACGCGATTAAGCCTCGGATCTGTTCACCGGTTAAGAAGCAAGTACCGGCCATTCCCGCTTGCCATCCAAGGAAAGTTAGCCATCCTGATTGCCTTAGTCAGTAACGTCCGCCGAGAGGTTGTATGGGAGTAACATACCAACAACGTAACTTATGCATTTTCCCCAACGTCCTGGTAAATGAATTCCAACCCAGACGTACGGGCCACCCGATGATGGGTGCATGGACGTCTGTTCAGCTATGCATAATGTGACGGCTAGCATTCCGCACAGAACAACACAGAGCATCCAAATACCGCCAGCTGGGCCCCCATTCTGGAGAGATACTCCATTTCCACTTAAAAAAAGCAAATCAGCGCCACAGCATTTCTTAATCACGATACTCGTGTAGTTATGGTCTTTGGCAATACATACATGAGCGCGTATACCCAATTATTGCCAATGAGCAACGCAAAACCAAGTAGCGTGTAAATGCTGAAGTTTCGCTATTCACATGGTTATTTTGTGGACAAGCGAAGATAGCAACACTGTCACTCACATTAAGCTTTTGTTCGATGCCCAGCTGTTGCATGTCGCTCTGGTCCTGGGTCGTGCCGGATTCTGTAGCCATAGTTGCGATGGAGAGATATGCAGTAGAGAAAAGTGATAGATTGATGGTATTTCAGGGGTTGGGAATCTGTCGCGAGACAGTTAATAGTTTATAAGGAATTCACAAAACACTACTAACATCTAAACAGGGAATCAGTGCACCAGCCTACGCGATGTATGATCACAAGGGCACCCACAGTGCCATCCTTGCGAATTGATGCTTGGATCCTGGTAGATACGGACGAAAGTGTCGGCCACATTCCGCCACCCCCGTGACGGGACGAGGCTCCTCGGGCCCGTTTGGACAGGATAGCCGGCCCGAGGGCCTGCATCATGCACGATACCGCGGATGTACTTTTTACTGGTCTTTTGTGCACTAGTGTATGGCCTGGGGTCATGGTCTCGGCCGTTATCCATGCTCGCTTGTTGGTGGCTGACATTGGCTTTCGGACGTATCCCGCATTGGTTCCCGATCTGCAGAAGAATGCAACGGAACCAATGGCAAGGCACTTGCGCAACCCACGTTTTCGGTACACTCAAATGTCTGGAAACAGCTAGCCGGCAATTCTGTGACCAATACATGCGAGATAGCTCGATGATTCCACCCCTGCAAGCAAGGCTGTATGAGAGAAGTCACTTTTTCAGTGGAGCTGACAGAATTCCTCAACATTCACGCTCAAGATCGCGGGTCTTTTAGGATTATACTGGATTGCACTGTAGTGTGTGCCCATGTGGCCCAGATCCTAGAGGATACTTGGAACGAAAAGAAACCAATCAAATACCAGTAATCGCGCGTGCTGGGAGGATTCGGTTCCATACTGCGTAAAGGGGAATAGTTCTCGTTACAGAGCAAATTGCCAGCACCTAAAGACTGTGGTCCCCTGCTCACTAATTAATCGATCTGTGCGTTGATACAGCTAGCCGTGTGACGTTACAGCAGATTGATAACATCCATGCATGATATTGGTATCCTGTGCTTGTCAAAGGATGTGCCATTACTAAACATCAGCCTCTCTCTCGCTTCTTACAGTGCCATGGCAGGGAGGGGGAAGG